CGGTCCATATCGAGCCAAATTTTGGCCCCTGCCAGCCGATGTGCCGCACCACTCCGGCGGCTGCCCCGTGACAACATTATCGAAGAAGAAGATAAGGAAAATTAATTTTTTTCTTATCTCGGTGCGGCATGGAGAAGACTAAGAAAACAACAAAAGACGGTCCTTTGCACGGGTAAGTGTAAAATATTGCTAAGGGAGGGGGAACAAATATCCTCTAGCTTTATCTCTCTTGTAGGGTAGAATAAATTACTCTCTAAAGTTGATTTAATCATCTACTTAAATAAACTTTAGAAGTGATTTATTTCCCTTTCCTAGAAGGATCTAATTTCCAATTAAAGAGGGAATCTACATCAAAATAGGAAACAATCCAACGTTTCCTAAACAAGAAGATCTTTACACTCGCTGCCTTTTCCTGTGAGTAGCTCAACAGGTATGGGGGCATTCATGGAGCCAAAAATAATCAAGAAGAATATGGCGTTGACACGTGGATTCTAGGGTAAAAAGGACAAAATTACCCTCGAAGAACACCGGAACTCCTATGCACGAGCAATGGACAATCATCCCTTAACATGTCAAAAGTGCCCAAAATAGGTAACCCCAAAATAATTCCTTTTTAATTATATTAATTAGCTAACAAATCATGAATCTCACCAAAAAAACCATCCAAGTGGTCGGTCCCCATCCTCCCAAAGGGGCCAGCCACACCCTTATAAATACTATATCATTTTCTCCAAAAATCCATTCCAATTATCTTGCTAAATTCTCTAAATTCTCCAAACACTTTTCCCTCAAAATTTTAACTTTGGCATCGGAGGTTCTTTGGCCAAAGCCCCCCCATTCATTGTGGGTGCGTGAGGCTCTTGGCCTTGACCTAAGGTGTTATTTGTTTTGTAGGTGTGATTTTGTCCAAGAACAAGGAGGAAGAAATTTGCATCCACATTGATCATATCTTTGAGAAAAAAAGAGTTTAAATATCTTAACCCCACTCCAACTAATACCAAGGCATATTATGATAAAACCTCACTTGTGCTCGTTGTTTATGTAATTGATTACAATTTCGAGCACATATGTGTTTGTCTTAGTGTCCAACGCTAAATGACTTGAGACTAGTCATATTCACTCTTGAGTCAACATAACACATACTAACCTTAGCAGATTGTCAATGCACAACTGGTAATTCTATGGCTAGGAACGTTTTAGGAATAAACAGTGATTGACTGTAAACTTTGCCGTCCATTAAACAAATAATAACACAATGAGTATCCCAAAAGCTATTACATCAAATGAGTGACTTTATGGGCATCCAACAGATGTGTGACTGTATCTTACCAAAAGATTACAACAAAGATGTTCGGTCTAGTGCACTGAGCTAAGTACAATAAAGCGCCAATCGCACTTAGGTATGGAACTGCAAGCTTCAAAACCTCTTCCTTATCCTCTTTAGGACAAAAAAGATCTCGCTTAGTATCTAGCCATCGAACAATTGCAAAAGTACTAAAAGGCTTTGGTTTATCATCATTAAAATGACGCAACACCTTTTGGGTGTAGTCCAACTGATGAAAAAGAATTCCATCTAAACAACGCTCAATCTCCAAGCCGAGATAGTATCGAGTTTTTCTAAAATCTTTCATCTTAAATTTCAATTTAGGGTGTGCAGTAGTTTTCTCAAGCTCTTTAGGAGTTCCAATGAATTCATGTCGTTCACATAAACTGCAATAATTGAAAATTCATAATGTAACTTCTTAATAAATATGCATAGACATAGTTCATTGTTCACATATCCCTGACTTATCAAATACTTACTTAGACTGTTACGCCACATCTATCTGGATTGCTTCAATACGTATAGTGAATGCCTCAATTGAATAAAAAAGGTGTTCCATGGTCTAGAACTATTTGATCTAATCAATGTAAGTCCTTTAAGAATTTTCATGTAGATTTTCGTATTAAGATCCCCATAGATACGTGGTGACCACGTCCATGAGCTTTATATGCAATTTTTTGAAGCTACTAAACTGATAAGGTAATGGAACGTAATGACGTCCATTACGGGAGAATAAGTATCCTCGTAATCAATTCTAGGATGTTGAGAGAAGCCTTGCACCACAAGGCGTGCCTTGTATCACACTATTTCATTCCTCTAGTTACGCTTTTTTACAAAAATCCAATTGTAGTCAATGGCTTCACATGTGGCGGTGTAGGGCTATAGGCTCAAACACCCGGTATTTCCCAAGAATTCGAGTTCAACCTGGATTGCTTGTTTTCAATTTGACCAATCTGTTGGCTCGTTGACATTCATCAACTGAACGTGGTTTAATGTCATCGCCCGACATGATCTTAGTCGCTGCTGCATATGCTAATGCATCGTTGATTATCATTTCATTTCTATTCCAAACATCATCCAAGCTAGTATAGTGGACCAAAATCTCTTGATTCTTGGGAGGCGGATTTGTCTCTTCCAGGACGTTTCCGTAATCTAGAATTTTCTCATGCGTTGCATAATATGAGTAGGCGATGGTCGAATTCATGCTATTTTCACTAGCCTGTGCTGTGGTTCTCCTTTTGTAGGGTTGTGAATCCTTTGAACCAATAGGTTTGCCACATGGTGTCTAGTCGTTCTAGAATGAAGATTCGACGTACATTAGGTACATCCATCTTTGCAGGCACATTTGTACCTGATATATGTGATCTTGTCACTCTTACTAGATCGGTAAAAGCATCTGGCATGCTTTGAGCAACACTCTAGAGATTTAGGATTTGTCACACTTTAGTTTCAGACTATGCAGTATGGGGATCTAAATGAGACATAGTGGGAGTCATCCATGATAATTCGCGTCGTTCTTATCTCCACCTAATGACGGAAAGACTATCTCATAAAAGTGAGAATCCACGAAACGAGCAGTAAAGAGATTGCCTATCAAAGGCTCAATGTAACGAATAATACCGACATAGATTCTCATACTTCTCCGAGGACCCATTTTGGTATGTAAGGGCGGTGATAAGTCAATATTATAATTATATATATTACCCTATTCTCAGTATGTTTTGGTAATTATCTTGGTAGAATTTTGATACTTTGCTTTATATTTTCAATATAGGACATTTGACTTCTTCTAAAGAAAAACATGACCAAATAGATGAATTTTAAAGTGATTCAAACTGGAGGACGTTCGTGAGCCGCTTAGCCTAATTTTATCAAAATATCAAATTTTTCCACCAAGCGGTTATTTTCTCGTAATGAAATAAAGAAGCAGTGCACGGTGATAGAAAGTAATGTTTTTGGGCTTAATTGTGATTTTTGGAGTCCAAGATGACATCTGATGGGTTCGTGGCCTTCTGGAGAAGTGTTCAGGATAGTTCAAGCTTTATATCCAACTATTTTGGGCTGATTATCCTAGTCAATTTAGGATTATGTTTCCTAATTTATTTTAATTTATTTGGTTTCCTAGTTTTATTCTAAGTCCTTTTCTAGGAAGGATTGGATTTTCTAGGTAGTATAAGTAAGGCATTGTGGCCTTCTTCTTTACGTGATATTAGAGAGAGGAATTTGGATAAAACTTAGATATTTTCAGACTTTATTGTACAAGGTGTTTTCATTCTTTTTCTAGTTTAATAACACTCTTTTGATTTTAATTATGAATATGTGTAACTAACTTTCTTTTTCTAAGGCGATGCCTTGAAACTTAGCATGAATATGTAGTTTTTATTTAATTGTTTATGATATAATGCATGCATACTTTGAATTATTAATCACTATGTTTAAAATGTCTTTGTGTCTCAGTGCTTAGCGACCATTAGGATGTTTAGATAAGTAATCGGATGCAATTTGGTTAGAATACCACCGGAAGATTGAGTATTGCTTCCTGTGATTGATAGTTGTAATTTCACTTAGGGCGAATGCCACGTCTTTTGGGTTGCATGATTTTTCAAAGGGTTTTCATAAAGCTAATGAGTCATGCATGTTTATATTTAATCTGAATGCCACAGATGGTTTGCATGTTTGATATATGTTCTATCCACAAGTAGAATATACATTAGGAAAACTTAACCTTCAAAGTTGCATGGGTAATTCATAAGTAATTAGTAAATCTACATAGGATTGCTAAGGGGACGGCAGAACCTAGTGCTTTTCCAAATTTATTTCTCAAAACCTTTTCTTTTTAATTTGATTTCTTCTTAATTGGTTACTAGTTGTTTTTCCTAAATTACTTTTATTAAATTCGTTTTCATTGTATTTAAATTCAAAATCAACCTTTTCCAATCTTTATTTCAAATAATTAACTAAAATTTTGGTTTTGCTTAAATTGTTTTAAATAATCCTTGTGGGAACAACCTTGCATGAGCAATTTTACTATAACTACATTGTTCTCTTGCAAGAATTTTCATCCCTACTTTTGCAGGTGGTAAAAATCCTATTAGGCGGCGCAATCAGCATATAGACCACATGCATAACCAAAGATGTGTAATGCAAGATGTCGGGCTCAAGTTACCAACTGAAGCACAAAATAAGGTTGGCTCGTGATGGACCGTAGGTGGACCATCATGAATGCGTGCAGCGATTGGGAGAGAGTGAAGAGATTGTAGAATGCCTTGGGATTCTTGTGTGTTCCTCCGTGCTCAGTGCCTTTATTTATAGTTAAATAAGAGAAGATGATTAACTTGTCCTCCAAGTAAATACAACATACAGGAAAAGAATAACTAGACTAATATATAATCTAGAAACCAAATTTATCTATGTTTTACACAATCATAATCAGAGAACATCCATAACACGTTTGATTTTTTAAAGTCTATCTTAGGGTATGTCACGTTTCTTTCCGAGATTACCCTGTCTCGGATTATGAAAGAAACATTGGATAACCATTGGAAGGAAGAATCTTTACTTTTCCAAAGTCACATGCTATGCTATTAAGCCAATTTGTTGTCCACAACATCCCTACCTCAAGTCAAATGCCCTCATAAAAAAACCCCTTCTCTCTCTCCCTCTCCCTCCTTCAACAACATTGCACAGAAAATGACTCCTAACAAATTCATACACTACACCCGCCTCTTTCGTTCCCACACATTTCTATTCATTACTGAAAAGGACTCCTACCAACAATACTTTCCCACCCATAAATCGCCCCCTCTCTCTCTCTCTGCGAGCAAATCATAAGGAGTCTCTATATCTCCCTAATGTCTTCTTCCAGCAAAAACAAGCTCCTCGCTACCATTCTCACAGCCAATATTCCAGGCTGCGATTGCGGCAGGCCGAAGCTCTCCGACGTATACGAGCCAACCCCAAAACCCAAAATCCAAATCCACAAAAACCCTATTCACAGATCCCACTCCTCTTCAAGTTCCGGTGATCAAAATGGCAAGAGTGTCACCGTTGACGATGACGAAGATCAGTGCACCTCCACCACCGTCTCTTTCAACAACTCGTCCTCACAGTCAAAGCCATTCGATTCAGCAGAGGGTACGAATCCGAAGAACACAAAGATTTCAAGCCCGAATACAACGAAAACCAGCGGCAGCATTGCGGTGGTGAAGGAATCAAACGACCCGTATCAGGATTTCAGGCAGTCGATGCTGCAGATGATTGTGGAGAAGCAGATTTACTGGAAGGAGGATCTGCAGGAGCTGCTCCGCTGCTTTCTGGAACTCAACTCTCCGTCCCACCACGATGTTATTATCCGAGCATTCACACAAATCTGGAACGATCTGATCAGAGAAAGCAAGAAGCCGATGATCATGTGAATCCCAGATAGGCGCCGCGTTCTAACTGTGTAGGTTTAATGATTTTGTAGTTGAGCTATCATTGTTGTTTTCCAAGTTTGGTTGGTGCTCAGGCATTTGAGGGTGCATAGATTGTTGACTGTTCCATTAGATCTCAATACTTTGATTGTACAAGTACTGGAAGGGTTTCTTTTTTTTTTTTTTTTTTTAGTTTTTCTAGAGATAGGCCTTATAATTATAATTTATTTAATTTAAATTTTTTTTGTTTGTCAAAGGGTAAAATTCATTACCAAAAAATCCACCTACAACAAGGTAGGGGTGGGTTCAAAAAATTGAAAACGAAAAAAATTAAACCGAATTAAAAAAATTAAACCAAACCGAAATCTTTTGGTTTGGTTTCAGTATCAGTGGCTCGAAAACCGAACCTAACCAAGTTAAATATAATTAATTTTATAGAAAATTTTATTTTAATCCTTAAAAATGATGAGTTTTCAGCCTATAACCTTGTGTAAGATTACACTTAATTATCTCATTTATTTTTGATATTTTATTTCTTTTTTTTTTCTATATTAATTACATTTCATTTTCATTTTCATTTCATTCATCATAATATATTTTGATGTCTACATTTAGGTAAACTATTTTTTTTTTATATATATATAACATAGGAATATACAATTTGTATAATCTTCATTTAGGTACATTAATTCATTTGATATATTTCGTTATATCCTTTGATACAAATACGTAGGTGCATAAATTCAATATAATATATTTCGGTACATATATTTTGGTACATACATTTCGGTACATTAATTCAATATAATACATTTTGGTACGTACATTTCGATACATACATTTTGGTGTTGACATTTAGGTACATTAATTCAATATAATACATTTAGGTTCATTATAATATATGTCGGTACAAACATTTCAGTACATCCATTTTTGTACACTTATGTATTTACATATTTATGTGTGACTTTTTTTTTTTCTCTTTTTTTTTTTATATATATTTTCTCATTTGTGTTCATTTATAATTGAAAGAACTAATATGTACGTATTAATAAAATTACAATTTTATTGTGGAGATATTAAATAAAAATGCACATTAAATAACAAAAATAGAATATAAATTTTAATAAAGGGAATTGTTATTAGCACTTCAAAAATCTCATTTAGCACTCCAAACTTTCCATAATTAGAAAGAAAAATACAATTGCGAGGAATGTAGAATGAGATTTTTGGAGTGCTGATAACAATTCCCTTAATAAAAGTACACTTTAAAGGATTAAATTGAATATGTAATCTAGCACTAGTTTTTTTATTTTATTTTAATAGTTTATATAATTCTAACTTTTTTGTAAGGACTAAGGTTTAGAAACTCTTTAATTTTATTTATTTATTTTGTTATTGGGTGTTTATATTTCAAGTCCAATTTTCAGTTTAATGCAAATTTTAAGCTCTTATTTTAGGCCCGGTTATTAACCTATATTCGAATTCCATTTTTTTTTCTCCCTAGCCCACCCTCTTCTTTCTTCTTCTTCTTTTCTTCCCAGCCAACACTCTTCTTTCTTCTTTTTTTCATTCCCAGCTACATCTTCATTCTCTCCCTCCTCAACGGGAAGATAAAGATGACGACGAACACATCGAAATCTGGTCATCGCTGCTCCTCCATCACAGCTCCTTCATCGCTGCTCCTCCTCCCCTAAAACCTTTTGCCTTTTCATCAATTCCTGGCTATTTTGGTTAATTTGGTATTGGACACTTGCTCTGAAGGTTATAATTGATGCAGCAATTCATAAGTTTTGGCTCTTCTGGGTAGTACTCAGTTGATATGCTTTGTGAATCTCAAGTTTCTTTGTCATTTTGTTTTGTAGGTAGGAGTAGGACTCCGACTAATTTAATCAATTTTCTTTCTTTGTGATTGTTCTCTAGGAAATGTAAACTTGCATCTTCTTTCTTTTTGTTTCTTCCTTTACTTTCTTGGAAATGGAAAAACTGGAAACAAAGTTGTATGACATAGACCAATTTTGAGATTAAAAAAAAAAGAGGGTAAATTACATTTTACCTCCTCAGATTTGGAGTCGATTTTAATTTCTTACAACATCTTTAAAACATTTCAATTTCATACATTTATTTATCATTTTATTTCAATTTCATACATCCGTTAGAAAATCTGTTAAGTAAACTGTTAAGTGATGATGTGGCAAATAAGGGGTCCCCATTTGTACTGACGTGACTGCCACATTTATGTCAAAATTTAAAATATTAAATAATTAATTAAAAAAAGCAAAAAAAAAAAAAAAGAAGCCAAAACCCAGTTTGTCTTCCCCACCCCTTCTCCCCACTCGAGCACACCCCTAACCCAAATCAGACACACCCCTTCTCCCTACTCGCAACCCCCAAACAACCCTCCCTCCCTTCTCTTTCCATGACCGACGCCCCCGCAACCCCCCACGCCATCGCAAACCCAGCCGACGAGATATGGGCGATCGTCTTGCTGTTCAACAAGATTTGGATCTCCTCCTAGACTTGTGGAGTGCTCAAGATCTTCTTGGAGAATGTGATCCGTGACACCGTGACCTACATTAACAAACTACGAGG